GCCCTAGGGAAGTCTACTTTTTGAATGCCTTTTAAAAATCCATAACTTGGGAGTGTACTTGGGAGTGTAATTACTTTAAAATCACTTTAGTCAGTATTATGATAGAAGGTATGGAGCCTTTTCCCAGAGAAATGTACACATAAAATTTGTATATAGTTTTAGAGTTTCGGAGGCACCTAAAGCCTAGCCATAGATATAGTTTGTTGTGCTGTTGTGTTTATATAGCCTTTCGAAAACTCTTTTGAGATACATTATAGAATCACAATGGAATATCTCTGAAAATGTAATTAGCAGAAGGAACATTTCAAGGCCTGCTGTTTAGCTTAGACTTTCTAGTTTGCTCTCTGCTAGGCCAGCCAGAATGAATGAGTTTTCTGGCCTGATGTTCAAAAGAATTGGCATTTAAATTAATCTCCTTTCTTGTTTTCACTTGACATGTCCTTGCTGTCTGTACATTCTTAGTCTCAGTTAACTTATTTCTCTCCAGAGTCAGCAAGGATATAGTGGCTGTTAGTCCTCCCCTTGAAAGGTTTGGAAAGAATTGGTACCAAGACTAGAAATCAGGCTAGGAGTTTATTGGCATGGGTGGTGCAGTAGAGGCGTAGGGACAGAACCTAGCCCAACCTCCCACCCCCCAGGGGGTTGGGCTTATATTTCTTCTTGTGGTGAGTTGTGTTGTTCTGATTGGCCATAGCTTATGTTAATGAGGAGTTAAATGAAATATCCAGTGGGAGTTGTTGAGGCCTTATGTTAATTAGGTGATTTTTAGGTTTGTGATTATTGGTTCCCTTAGTATGTAAAGTAGCATTTCAGAGGGGACTTATGGGATGGAGTTCTGTTGTGGTTGAGTTCCTTTGTCCTTTTATTTTATGGGGAAGTCCTATAGGGCCGGAACCACCATTTTGAGTATCTTTGGTTGGCATCATCTTAAGTGGTCCTCCCTGAACCGAATACCACTTATCCTTTAACCATTTGCTTTTGACACTATTTACCTTTTCTCCTTTTTCTTGGTTTATGTGGCAATTTTCTTGTCTAACAGCATGTATTTATAAGTCGATTGTTATAAAAAGGCATGGGATTTGAAGTCAGAGAGATTGTGGGTCATATGCTGTTCTGCAATAGGTTGTGTGTCAGTGGGCAAAGTACTTACCCTATTGGAGCCTTACTGGTAAGGTGTGATATCTATGGACCAGGATTTTTAGGTGATTCACATAGTCTGCCTTGTAATCCCTATCCAGTGTCTGGCTCACAGGTAGCCTTTCACAGCAATAGTGAACATGAGATGACGGTAATAGCTAACCATGAGCACAGTGCTGGATTCGTGCTAAGTGCTTCATGTGCAGTGTCTCTTTTAGACTGCACAGTAACCTTATGAATTAGGAACTCTTGTTCCATGATGCTGTGGATGAGAGAAATAAAGCTTGCTGCCTCTCCTTACTGCCCTCCGCTCCTCTCTTCCAAGTTAATGGGAATAGTGGTGCTGCTTCAGCTACATCCCCACCAAGGAATTCTTACTAGCCAGATTGATTGATTCTTAATTAAATAATTCATGCCAGAACACGAAATATGAACAGTTGTAAAGATAATATATTACCATCTTAGGTGTCAGTAACAGCTAAAATCTAGTGTCATCTGTCTGAAACCTAGCTGAGAATAAACAGAAAAAGTGAAAAATACAATTCAGGAGCAAAAATTGATGACATATAAAGCTTGTGTCTTTTGACTGCTTAAGTTAGTTCTTAAATGTTTCCAGTAAAATTTTCAAGTTCATGGGCATATAACCCTTAATAGGAACATGACATATTTTGGGAATCTTACATTTTCTCTTAAAAATTCTTGGAAGATGCACCCGAGGCCATAATATAACTGTATTAGGGTTCTCCAGAGAGACAGACCAATAAGATATGTATATAAATAGATGAGAGAGGATTTATTGGGAGAATGGGCTCATGCAATTATGAAGGCTGAGGAATCCCACGATAGGCCTTCTGCAAACTGGATACTGGTGGTATGGCTCAGTCCAAGTACAGAAGCCTCAGAACCAGGGAAGCTGATGGTGTGATTCTCATTCCAAAGCCAAAGGCCTGATAGCTGGGGGTGCTGTTGGTCAAAGTCCTGGAATCCACAGGCTGAAGAGTCTTGAGTTTGGATGTCCATGGACAGGAGAGAAGAGTGTATCCCAGCTCCAGCAGACAGCAAGAGATTCGTCTTTTCCTCTGTTTTTGTTCTCTCTGGGCCCTCAATGGATTGGATGGTGCCTACCCATATTGAGGGCAGACCTTTCCCACCCAGTCCACTCAGGCTCCCATGCTAGTCTCTTCTGGAAACACCCTTATAGACACACCCCAAAGTAATGCTTTATCAGGCTTCTGTGTATTCCTTAATCTAGTCAAGTTGACACGTAAAATTAACCCTCACAAGTTCACCCCTACTCAACTTGGTGTTCATAGCTATCCCCTTAAACCATACTTAATTTTAAGATGGGACAATAATGACGTAATAGTTCTTCCTAACGTAGTTCTTTAGTTGTATGCAACTATTTTGCATACAACTGAAAATGAATCCCTTTCCCAGAAGAGGTAAAGTCCTCATAATATTTCCTCTTCTCCCCATATCCCATCACTTAAATACAAATACTATCATGTAACATTAACTATTTAAATACTGATATAAAGTCAGAAAGTCTTATGTTGCATGATAACAATAAGAGGAACAAAAACAAAGATAATTTCTTAATATATGTACAGTATGTGTATATATGTATACACATATGCACACACATACAGACGTATTCTTAACAAAATAGGGAGGACAATAACCATACTTGTTTTAATATAAAAATACATTTTTTTATTTCCCCAAACTTTAAAAAATAATTGTTAGAGGAAAAGATGCTGTCTTAGTCCATTTTCTGTCGCTTTTAACAGAATACCTGAATCTGAGTAATTTATAAAGAAATGGAACTTATTTCTTACAGTTTTAGAGGCTGGGAAGTTGAAGGTCAAGGGGGTGTATCTGGTGATGGCCTTTTTCCTGATGGGAATTCTCTGCAGAGTCCCGAGGCTTCACAGAGTAACATATGGTGAGAGGGCAAGAATATGCCAACATGCTAGCTCAGGTCTCTCTTCTTATATAGCCACCAGTTCTACACCCACGACAATCCATTTATCCGTAAATGGATTATCCGTTCATGAGGGTGGAGCCCACATGATCCAGCCACCTTCTAAGGATCCCACCTGTTCATACTGCCACATTGGGGATTAAGCTTCAACTTGAGTTGAGGAGGAGACATTCAGACCATAGGAAATGCTAAATCAGATAAAAATCACATTTTTAGCTTTGCACCCCCAAATATGTTTCAGGATTTACTTTAGCCTGGAAACCATACAGAACTAGTTCTCAGAATTTATTTGGAGTCTATCTACTTTTACAGTAGGTACATTTTACATTAGGTACAGGATTGATCATGTGATTTCTAAGACACGATTAGAAAGAAATGAGTTTTTCAGTGATTATTTGATCTGAATTAGAAGGGGCAACGGAGGGGGCTTCCATAGGAAGTTACATACTTTAGAGAAAAGTGATAATTAATAACCTAATAGTGTAGGTATCAAACTAATAGACACAGCTGCCGGGGATCGTACATTGTGGGGAAAAATCTTTGCAGGTATCATTCTACTTATAGGGAGGCATAATAAAATTTATGTATATAGTAATTGTAAGTCTTAAACCATCAAGAAAAAGTTAACATGTGAATGATAATCCCTGGTTAAAAAGAGATTTTATAAATATTGAAAAGGTATTTTTCTAGAAGGTTAACTTTTAGTGTTTAAAGTGCTAAATCTTGGGGATATTCTATCTAGTTTGGTGCATTGTTGAAAAGATTTCACACAGCTGAGAGCTAATCATCCTGTATCCTGTGGAAAACTGTCCGCTTTGGTTAAAACTTTATTGTAATTTCTTTAAATCTCTGACTTTTATTTCCTACATTTTATAAAAACATTTACCCCCTCTATTTATTCCTTTGTTCTCATTTCCATAGTCTTGAATACACTTGTGGTGCTAGAACTATATTCTTTTCACAGATTCCTAACAATTTTTCTTTTCAAGCATCCCATCCTTGAATTCATCTGTATATAGTCTTTCTCACATTTCATTTTTATATTTTCATTCTCATCAAGAGATAGGGTAGTGTCCAGCCATTTACTTTCAAATCAAAGTTTTTCTGGTTCTCATTTGTCTTTATCATTTGTCCTCTTAATTTCATCTTGTTTCCTCTTAATCTCTTTAAACCATCTCCTCTGTTTACCATCTTCTGCACCCAGTTTGTGGGTTTCTCTTTTTTTGCTTTGGCAAGGGCCACTCCCTCTGTTTAGAATTTCTTTTGGTCGAAAGCTCAATTAACAGCTTCTAGAAAGTTTTTTGTTGCTGTTATCAGCTCACTCTTGTCATCTTATTCTTGTTTTTGCATCTCTTCGATAATAACATATCTATATGTTACAGTTATTAGCAGCCTGGGACCATGTCCCTTGGTTATGCAAGGAACACGTATCTCCCTAGTACGATTGCAAGGCACATGAGACCCTCATTTGAATACTCTTTAAACGTGGTACAGGGTCCTAAAACTCATTAGTAGAGATAAAGTATCCTTGTCTTTTGTTGAACATATATATACAGAATATTTAGTTGCACTTGATAGTTTCATTTAGCCATTTTTTGCTTATAATCTTACCTTTTTCCTTAAAAGAGAAAACATTTTTATGTTTTCTAGACATTAGGAATTAGAGGAGCTTATTATCCTTGTCATGCTCCTGTTGGATTACTTTGGCATTTTGTGACTTGTGTTTTATTCCTAAAATAAGCCTTTTAAGAAATGCAAAAAAAAAAAAAAAAAAAAAAAAAACCAAAGTACAGAATTTATATTTTTTAAATATTTGGGGTGGATTTAAAGTAATTTTAAACATTCTAATTGTAGTGTTTTTGAAACATTCCTAATACAGTGCTGTGAAGAAACTTTTTCTGTTTCTATGAGGGGAATGCTGGAGTTGACCTATGGATCATGTATGCACTACTTGGGTTCTGTCTTTGCAGTTGACTGGATTGTTGCTGATATTTTGGCCATCAGGCAGAATGCTCTTGGACATGTGCGCTATGTGCTGAAAGATGGATTGAAATGGCTTCCCTTGTATGGGTGGTATTTCTCTCAGGTAACTTTTCTGTATGCTTTTCTCTTTATATATGTGTAGTCTATTAAAATTTTATATTTTAAAGTTTAACAAGTACTAAATATACAAGGATATTTCCAAAAGTTTATGGAGAAATGGAATTCAAAGATAATTTAAATCTTTCCATGAGCTTTTTGAAGACCTCTTCTAAATGTATGGTTTTTAAAATGAGTTCAATAGCTTATTCTAAATTTAACCAATTTCATTTGGTATTTTTAATGGTGTATATTTATATACCTGTCTGATTATCCATATAGTTAAATGAAATAGCAAAATGCAAACGTACAAAATTCAGACAAATAGGAAATTTAAAGGCATGGAATTTGATAGACATTTACCTTGAAAAACCAATGATAAAAGTAATTAGTGTCTATATATATATAAAATGTAGTGAGCTATCTATATAAAATGCTTAGCATGAGGTGAGGAATTTTATTTTCTCCCAGTTCTAGAGGCTAGAAGTCTAATATCAAGGTTTTGTTTCTCCCTGAGGACTCTCTCCTTGGCTTGCAGACAACAGACCTTCTCCCTTTGTCCTCACCTGGTCTTTTCCCTGTACACATCCATCCCTGGCATTTCTTCCTCTTTTTAAAAGGACACCAGTCACATTGGATCAGGGCCACTTATGACCCTTATTTAACTGCTCATAGTTACCTCCTGAAATGCCCTGTCTCCAAATACAGTCAGAGTAGGAGTTATGGCTTCAATATGCAGATTTGGGGGGAATGTAATTTGTTCTATAACAGTGCCACAAAAATATCTGTAGCTAGGTTGATTTTTTAATTCCCTAAAGATTGTGAATGTTGACATTTTAAGGATACTTTTCAGTGGTTCTGTAATAAGTCAGTGGGAAAATGGGAAGTTAAGATACATCTGATTGATCAAGTTTTTGATTTTAAAAAATGGGTTTTTAGGAAAGCATTTTTATTTTAACTGCCAACAAAACTAAATGTTCACATATTTTCCAATACAATACAGCATGCAATTTATTTGAATTATGTTGAAACATGAGAATTTTCAGCTAAATGTTTTTTAGATGTTAATATTTGAATGCATTAAATATAGTTTAAATTCTGAAATGTAGTTTTATTCTTTACTCTTTGGGAGTAAAGTCGCCTTTTTGATGACTACCCAATGGTTATTTTAAGAGTAAATCCTTTTTTCCCCTCACTTTTTAATGTGACAGCATGGAGGAATCTATGTAAAGCGAAGTGCTAAATTTAATGAAAAAGAAATGAGAAAAAAGCTTCAGAGCTATGTGAACGCAGGAACTCCGGTAAGATTGCACCATTTTTTATTATTTTCCTTATAAACTCTCATTTTTTAACTTAAGAATGAAAATTTAAGAATTGTTTTGAAAATGTATTATCCCTTGTATAATAAATAATTCAAGAGTTTTCTTGAGGCAGTAAAAACCCTCTAAATATAGGGGAACTATTTTTGGCCGTCAGAAAGATTGCTGCAGACATTAGATCCTTTGCTGGTGGTTGTCAATATTAACCTTAAAGAGAAATGAAAAGAACATTTGGTGTCTTCCAGAGTCTATAAATAGAAAATAGAACTGTACTTGTAACGCTACATTTAAGCTACTTTAAGAGCTCATCTAACTCTTTAGTATCAGATTTAGTTTTAGAAAAAACAACTGTTTTCTGTCACTGTAAATTTGCATTTCTTGTGTATACTGAGTCATTTGAAAACCCAAAAAAGTATGAGTATCTACAAATGAAAAATCATTTAATATAAATATTATTTTACAAAACTGTGTTCCCCTTCCCCCCAAAAAGGCATCTCAGTCTTCTGTTTGAAGAATGCTAGTTGTAGCCAAATGACTTTTTCGCATGACTCCCTCCTAGGACACAGCAACCGGATTGTAATGACTACTTGGGCTTTTCAGTGCGGCACAAGTGCTCAGAAACTTAGCTCACAGGCACAAGTTTTCTTTTTCCTTTCTTGTCCCCTCTCTGCTCCTTCTTCTCCTCTTGCCCTCCCCTCAATATGAGTTGCAACCAGAGCTCATATTGAAAGAAGAGTCCTCCACAGTCAGCTGGTGAAGTGCCCAGTGTGAACACTGTTTACTCAAAAACCTCTTCTAGGTGTTTTTGCATTGGGAAATTGCATCCTGTTTTGGGATGATGAGATTAGAATGTAATGAGATCAACAATGGCCCTTTATCATGTTACAACTCACCCTGAGAACAACGCATGGTATTTTGGAAGGTTGCATTTAGTCTGAAACACGGTGGTGAATTTTGGCAGAACTGGGGTTATTGATTGTTTATAGATCTCCAAAAGACAGACTAGATTGGCAGACTAAATTTAAAATTTATCAAAACATGGATTTAATACATTAAAGTGTTCATCCTCTCTAGTCACCCCAGCCACAGATAACTGCCGTGAAGTTTCTTGTCTCTTCTGCTATTAGCACATATATGAAACACATATAGCACCCTTTTTACTTGAATGTTAGCGTTCTATACACAGTTTCCCCTTGCTTTTTATCCCCCTTAAATACAGTTGCTGAGGTTGAGGAGCTTAGCTCTATATGTTATGTCTTTTTTCTCTGGCTGCCTTCACGTGTTTCTACTTGTTTTTGGTTTGCAACAGTTTAAGTATTACATGTCTGAGTATCATTCTGTTTTTTTATTTATCCTGATTGATCCCTCTGAGCTTGGATCTGTCATTGGTATCTGTCATTAATTTTGGAAAATTCTTGGCTGTTATTTATTTCTGAAAGCTAAGTAGTTGACATGGTAGACTATCAAGTCAACTTACATATGGCTTAATATTCCTCATAGGAATCTATTTCATGATTATATCAGTTGTTATTCAGTATTAATATTTGAGAGATTGCAGAATTTTGCTTCAAAAATGTATCTATTATAAATTACTAAGAAATACATATCCATGATTATTGTTGGGACAGTATTTTAGTAAGGTATTTATCAGTTGCTTATGCAAATAAAACATTTATGATAAAAATAATTCATCAGAATCTGAGCTAATAAAATTTATGGTACACAAATGGAGACTAAGGCTTTGCTTTTCTTCCAACTTTTACTGAAGTTGCTTTTCAAATGGGAGGTAGCCTAGTGACTAAGGTATTGGATTTGAAATCAGATTTGAATTTAAATCCCAGATCTGCTGTTTAAACTTTGTTACTTTGCACAAGTCACTTTAACCTTTCTACATTTTTGCTTCCTTAACTCTATTAACTACTTAATTTGATAGTTAGGATTAAGTAACCTGTTTGAAAACTATACTCATTTGGAGGAAAATGAAGGAGAACACATATTAAAGATGGAGGCACTCTTGCTCTCCAGGACTGGATCTGCAAAAAGACTGGGTCAGCAAGAATTCACAAGACTTAGCTGCAAACCACAGACTTCCTATTGAGTTGCCCAGGAGATGGGGAGGTATGGGAGGGGCTCACAGCTGGCTAAAACGTATATAATACATGCCTGTAGACAATAAAGTTGCTTAGTACGTGTGCTAAGTCCCAGAATTTTGTGTCTGGTTTCTGGTTGCCCACCTCCCTAGGTGGCAGCCCCTAGCTCAAGGCGTGCCCTGAGCAACTCACTTCGTTGCACTCTCTTGGTGGGGCTACGTGTGGCCCTGCTCCCTGAGGGACTCCTGGCAGAGGCTACGTGTAGTTCCGCCTCCTGAGACCCCCATGACCAAGAGAAACATGCATTCATTGTCTTAGTTTCCTATTGCTGCTGTAAAAAATCACCAAATTTATCGGCTTAAAATAACACAGATTTATATCTTAACCATTTCAAAAATCAGCAATCTGAAATGAGTCTCACTGACTACAATCAAGTTGTCAGACTGTGGCGACTATAAGGGAGACTGCATGTTTTTGTCTTTTCCAGCTTCTCGAGGTTGACGGCCTTCCTTAGCTCATGGCTTCTTTCCATCTTCAAAGTCAGCAGTGGCTGGCCTGGTCTTTCTTTGCTGGCCAAGTCTCTGGTTTTGACTCTTTCTGCCTCCCACTTACCTAAAATAATCTCATTGTCTTAGGTCCAATGATTAGTCATCTTAACTTTCCCTTGTCATGTAACATGACATATTCATAGGTTCTGGGGATAAGGATGTGGACATCTGTGGGGGAGGAGCATTATTCTGCCTACCACACTCATGTATGTATTTGTGTAATTTTATCATTGTTTTCTGCTCATACATATAGAACTTCCATAGTGAAATAATAAATTCATTGAGGAAAAAGAGTGTTACTTTGTATCTTGCCACATTTTTGCACTTTTCCTCTGTAAATGTATAATGGAATTTTTAATAAGTTGGGTGTTTCTGATTATAATTGCAGAAAACTTAAAAAGCTGTGGTTTACTAGATTAGATTAATTTGGAGGTCAGAAGGCAGAGGTGAAATATCTTGTTTATAGTCTATGCATTTCAACATGAAATAGCTTTTTATTTAAAGAGAAAGCAGTAATTAAAAGGTGGATAGTTATCACAGTTTATTAAGTTCTAAGATATTTCTATGTAAATGTGCCTGCTTTGAACACTATTTAGTAAACTAGATAGAATTTGTAAAAACCAGAGGGGAAGGAAACTTTATAATAATTAAGATCCTGCCACACAATGCTTGAAATTTTTACATATGTCCTTTCATCTTTATAGCAACCCTGAGTCATTTTGGGATGAGAAACTGAGACTCAGTTAAAAAGTAAATTAAGTTATCCAATGCATGAAGAAAAGCTATTTTTAATAGAAACTCATGAGTTCAATAGCTGGTTACAATTTGAATATGTTTAAAACTCTTAAGTAGTTCTTTTCTTTTTTAATAGGTTTTTAATGCGAAATAGCTTGCTAATTTTCCATTAGAGGCTGAAGTATCTGTTTAAAATATAGATTATATATATATATATAAGCTCATCACAGAAGAGAATAGAATCTGGTTCCTTCAAAATGAAAATTAAGCAGAGCAGGCAACTTAGGTGTACAATAGCAAACATCTTCTGCATAAATTGGTTTGTAACAGTTTGTCATTTTCTTTTCTTTTCTTTTTTTTTTCCCTTTTTGTCTTTTTTCGTGACCGGCAACGGGATTGCAACCCTCAGTGTCGCACCCGCACCGTGCTCAGCCAGTGAGCGGACCGGTCTCTATATGGGATCCGATCCCCCGGCGGGAGCGCCGCTGCACTCCCAAGCACCGCACTCTACCGAGTGCGCCACCGGGCCGGCCCAGTTTGTCATTTTCTGTAGTTCTCATTCCTCCCTGGATCTCATTTATATTATTATTCATTAAGAAGAGGGTCCAGAAATATTAGACTTTTCGTTTCTTTTCTTGCCTCATTTTTAGTTTTTCCCTTTTCTCTGTGGCCACCTTCTCCATTTCCATGGGAACTAAAAATGATAGCTGCCTTTTTTTGTCAACTGTTTGAAGCCAATAGCAAGGAAGTTATCAGATGTGAACACCTGAAGAAGAAAGAAAAGTTTATTTTAAAATCTTGACTCTCCATCTGTGCTGTCTGCCATGCTTGGCCCTCATGAAGAAAGAGAACTATGAGTACTGCTTTAGTTTCGTTGCCTTTTAAAAGTGGTTCCTAAGAAAGTGACACACAAGACTGGCCATGGGAATGGCGGAGCACCTAGGTCCGGATGATTAGCCACTCGTGGCATGTTGTCCTTCCACCAAATAGGTCATCTCAAGTTTCTAAGGTAGATCTATGTTTAATTAAAACAACAGCAAATTGCATACTTTATTATTTTATGCCAATAACTGTAGTAAGTAGACTGTATATTATCATCTCTTGTCTTTACAGTGTCTCTATGATGTGTAGGTACCATTACAATTTTCATTTGCAAGATGAGGAAACGTAAGGCACAGAGAGGATAAGGAATTTATCCAAGGTCTTAGGGCCTCTAAGTGGAGAAGCTGGGATCTGAAACCAGGTGTTCAGCCTGTACATTTAACCACTGTTCTGTACTCTCTCTTTAGTTCCCTTCTTCATAAATTTGATTTCCAATAGAAGATCATCTCCTTTGTGGAGTAATGGCCACAGATAACGTAATTTAATGTTTATCCATGACTTTATGTACCTGTCAAACAACATTTTCCTTCTTTAACTGTAACTTTTATGTAATAATTAGTTCCTTTTAAAATTTGGAACCTGACTGACTTGTGGAGGGTAGAACTAGTGATAGGGTTTTTTGGTGTGTTTTTTTTTTTTTTTTTGCATTGACTGTGACCTTGAGTTAGTCAAGTTGTATATTTCAAAATTTCTACTGTATTCTCATTGGATATCTTAAGAAAGTTAT